ATTGAGCTAAATGCTTTTCTCCATGGAGATGTAGTTGCTTTGTCTGGAATGTTTCACAGTATGGTATTAAACCTTTCTATTGTCATGGAGACCAAGCCGGACCAAGTTAGTTTTTGAGGTATTTTTGAGCTATAAAACCATCTGCTATTGAATAAATGTGAGGTAGATCTGTCTAATGCCATAATGTGAAACAGTCTAGGCAGAACAATGACATATCCATAGAAATCCCCAACCGAAAGTTACACAGTGGATAGTGGAACTGTTATATTATAGGAGTTTGGTTTTCAATTCTACACAAACACTTAAAACAACAGTCAATACTTTATCTTAGTTAAACGAATAGGCCCAATTGTCTGAGTTTATGGCCACATAGAAGTACTCATTTTCAAATAAACACAAATAAAAAATGGTATGTAGTTTTTAGCTGAAAGCATTTAATTTACCTGTTTTTCAGCACAGAGGTTGCAGGTTCAATCCTTGATGGACGACAAACCCTCTCAGTCGGCATGTCCTTCCTGTGGTACTGGAGCTTCTCTCTGGGAAAACGGTCTTCCCCCATTAGTGCAGTCCAAAAACAACTATGACAGAAGTACAAATGCATGGTTAAAAACATTATAGACAATATGCACTGATGAAGTAAAGATATGACTTATGAAGTGGTCATCTTGTTCATTAAATGTGATTTATTAGATTTTTTAACAATATAATAGAGTCAAGAAGTTTGATGCTGTAACACTTTAGGCCTAACAGTGACTGAATCAACAACTTTAGCAATAGCATAGGCCTATTGCTGTGGTACTGTTGGCCGATTGCTGTGGTAGTGGATACTGGACACACAACACCAGAGTGAAATCAGCTACTGCATCAGCTAAACATTTAAGCCGGAGGAGTGGTAAGTGAGACATGTTACATTGCAGATTACCGTGTGGTCAAAGGTTCAAATGAGGCCACGTGTGTCGGGAGGGCCAGAATCGCGCCCACTGGACTTTTGCAAGGTTATTAATGACTGCCACAAATGAGCTTTGCTCCTGCTCCTGCTCCACTGGACTCGGGTGCGCGCTCAGAAACACCAGATGGATGAGAAGGAGAGTGAGGCTGTTCCTTTGACACTGCGCCCATCTAGAGGCTACAGAGTGTAGTGCAGTGAAGGTGAAGGAAACATAATTTTGATTATAGAAAAAAGGAGAAGAGGAAAGAGATAGGAAGGTGGGTGAGGGGTTTAATTTACAAAAACATTACAAAGACAAATGTTTACAAATGAAAACATTAGCTGGCTTGAATATAGATTTTTATTTTTTAAAAGGTAAGAGTTTCGCCCCATGTGACCACTGGGTGGCAGTAAGAGAGAGTGTTAAAATACACATAGACCTCTACTACTTGAATATGCCAAATTAAACACAATCAAATGTTCAATAAATAATGGAAAACTCGTGGATATTGCAATTTGAGCATTTTTGATGAACAAAAATAATATATTTACTTTTCAAGTTCAGCCTGGTTACACTTGTTCAATAGGCTTTATTTTGGACTTGAATTTATGAAAATGCCAGTAACAGTGTACAAGAAACAAGTTGAGATGCAGAAAATATTTTTTTATGGTTTTATTCAAGGACATTTGAGTTGAAAAATATGAAATGATCTTCTACTATGCTGAGTGTAGTAGTATGACTGTAGACATGCATTGTTTACACTTAACACAGTAATCAAAGTAAAGCAAAAATCACAGTTAACTATGAAGTCCATGCAAATACCTGCACATGTATGAGAAACCTGATTTCCCCTCTGGCGTTGAGAGTTTGCTGTGACGGAGGCCCTCAGGCCTTAGGTTTAGGCCCAGTGCTGAGCTGATGTATTTGTTTTTCCATCTCTCTCTTCTCTCTCTCCTCTCTTTGTTGCTCTCTTGACCCAAGACCTCAACCACAAGAAAGCGTTGACATTTGAAGAACGCAACATCCAGAAACGTGCCAGAACGAATTGCACCAGCACTTTAAACTCTTAAGACAATTATTAGAAAATGATTCTTCTAACCTTATAAAAATATATATTTTATTCACATTTTAATGTTCGTACAAAGGGTACAAGAAAACTGAGAGATGTCTTACTGACACACTGTCAGCAGCTATGATATAATTGTTTCCATTTTACACACTTGGAATTTCATTTTGATGTGCAAACCTTAGTTGTGTTGATTAGATCAAAGGTACTTCATGTGCTGATGACACAAATGTAGGTTTACACATTTAAATCAAGGCCAGTGTGTAGTCACATGGAAAAGGCTTTTGTATTTACATTTACTTACAGTAATAACACACAGGCTTACAATTACTGACTGATAAAAACTGTAGTGGAAAGCACAGGTACTTATAATACTCATTTCAGTCTTGTAGTAGTAGTAGCAGTAGTAGTAGTTGTAGTACTATGCTATGCATGTAATTGCAGGTAATTTGCACATTTCTGACTATATATTTTAATTCCTTGTTAACTATAATTATATATTGCAAGTATAGATTTGGAACTGTGGGTAAAAGGGTAAAACTAGGGCTTTCCTGTCTGTGGTTGCCTGTTAAATAATATGAAATAACTTCACATCTTGTGTTGACCTGCTTTATATCCTACCACTAAAACCTCTCATGTAGCCTGGCATATTTGGGTTTCATTACAATGTTGTGACATTATTGACTTTTTTCTCCCTGAAACTGCCTGCTCGCTCATCAGTAAAATTAACCAGTTTCCATAATTATTTCCTGTTTTCAGTTCACCATGTTGCAGCTGTTGATCCATTTTTGTCTCAGAGTCATGGCTTAAATCCTCAAATCCCACTGAACAAACTCTTAATTTAGCCCATTCTACTTCCCTGTGTATTCTCTCTTCTGCTGCAGGTGTTTCTACTCATCAGAGTCATAGTAAAAGATGATATCTTATCTCTCTACTAAGCAGTTATTAATGCAATGGTAATATATTCATTCATATATGATATTCTTATTATTAAATTATACCCTCAACACAGAATTGAAAACTGTAAATTACCAAGGTATTTTTTTTTTTATGATAATATGAAAAGAAAATTGCAAAATGTATTGATCTCTGTTGCCATGCTATTTATACCCTATTACCAGCTCTCTGCTCTGTATTCAGTTCTGCCTAAAGCTACTGGTAAAACTGCAGGAACTAGAGTAACACTCGAACCTTGTGTGAATTGAATCTATTGTTTCAATTTGGAGTATACCAGCATGCCATGCTTTGGGAGCCAGTATCAGTGACATAAGTTTGAATAGTGCTTTTTGCTTCTCTGTGTGTTCTGTATGTCTTTGTCCGTTTGGAGTACAGTTTGTAACTCTCTGTCTCTCTGTCTCTCTGTATTCACTGTATCTCCAGTTTGTCCGTATTCAAGCCATTGGGCTGCATAAGCGTGGTGAGAGAGCCCAGGAAGCCAAGTGGAAGTTCCCCCACAGAACTTCCTCCACCACATGAAGATTTGCAACCTCTTTGACGCCCTGACCACAGACCTGCCGCACATACCCAGAGGCCTTTGCAAAACAACAAAGTGTCTTCCTCTAGGCAGCATTAGGGTGTCACAAAACATTTAGCAACTTTAGCAGCTTTAAAAGTCAAGGTTTAACGTACAATCAGCAATCAAAGTGTAGCATTTCACCGTTCCCACACTTACATCTGAGTGTGAGTGAGTCAAAGTTGTCAAAATTGGGCGTGTACGGCAGGGAGGGCGGATATGGGAGCAGGGGCTGTGTGCATTTCTGCGTTTTAGGTTTTAAGGGCCAGTCCAAACATCCAACATTACCTGGCAGGAAAAACTGGAATAGGGCTCGTCACTGGAAGATTGCACAACTCACAGCTCTTTGGAGTCATCCGGCTGTGAAAAGAGAATCTTCTGGTAGCTGTGTAGATGCAACAATGGAGCATGTATTTAGCGGAAAATCTCAAATAAACACATTTATAAGTTATTTTATCCCTTAATTTTGTTATCTATAGAGCTAGTATGTATTGTTTATAGCATCCAAAGTACATACTTATCAGCTAGTACAATCAGGTAGAGAAGAAGAAGTGGCATGGATGAAGGAAGAGGAAGTTTTACAGTTTTAGCCATCAGAGACCAAACCTCAGTGACTTGAATTACTTCACTATGTGAAAGGTTGGTGGTCATAAACATATACCAAGAAACAGGCAAGTGTTATCAAGCACGAAAATGCAGAAAGTTAGTCAGAAGCTAAAATAAAGTACTTTTAAAGCACAACTGGTTTATCATTTATGAAACAATACTGGACTAAATATTGCATTTACACTTGCTTGTTTGAATTGTTAAAAAAACAAAACAAAAACACTCATATCAACACAAATGTACTCTTATAATCACAGAACCAACTTGTACATTGTAGTAGGAGTCGAAATTGTTCTAATAGTGATAGTATTAATAGTAGTAGTGGTAGTATTAAATCATAGTAGTATCTGTGGTATAGTAGTAGCAGTAATAGCAGTAGTAAAAGTATCATGGTAGTATTAGTGCTATTGTAGAAGTGATGGTGTATAAAAATGTCAACTGTAGTAGCTGTCCTGTATAATTGCGACACAGTGTAATGAGTACACAGGTACACACAAAAAGAATGTATAGACATGGTTTAACTGCAGCGCCTTCAGGAGCTTTGATTGACTGCGTCTGTGTGTTTGTGCATGTTACACAGATTAAAGGAGCAGGGAGGTGAACTGGCTGCTCTGACATTTAGAGGCCCCAGCAGCGCCCACCTGTTCACACACAAACGAAACAAACACAACTTATTACACTGTACATGGAAAACAAAACAAATGTGAACCCACTAAACTATGTAGTAGCAGTGCAACAGTAACTAACTTAGTTTTAGGCCTGAAAGTATATTTAAAAATGTCTCTTCCTATAGTTATTATTATTTGTAGCCTCCTATATTTGTATATTATAATTTCTTAGTTGTTTTAAGGTATTTTTACCCACTGAACACTTACTGGTGCTTTAACATAAATGACAAAACTGACTGTAAGTTTCTCCACAACATTTTATAACAATAGAATAGTTTAGTATTAGTTGTAATATAGGGCTACAAGTGCCTGGAGAACCATAGTGGCTGGTAATATTGAGTAATTTGTGTGAGATACAGAAACCAAGACGAGGCAGTGACATCCATTGTTTAATAAACAATCCCATTCCTTATAAAATATACATAATGTTCTTCACAGCGCGTCTTCATTTAAACAGGGTTCAACTTCCTTCACCAGATTTACAATGCTTTTTTTTTTTTTTTTTTTTTACATTTTTGCCTGTATTATTCATAAATAATACATCAGAAATTCAACATCCTATGCAAATACCTGAGTGCCCTCGTATCATTAAATGGTCAATATCAGATATTTCTGAATTATTTTGAGAATCAGTGCCAAAATATAAATTGTCCATATATTATTTTCTATATTTTACAAAATATAATGCACCTGAACCCTGTCTTAATTTGTAAACATCATTTAACAAAAACACACACAAAAGTCCACAAAACAGTTGCATGACTCTTGCAGAAAAATAGACATTAGTACACTCAAAATTTACAAAAACGTGTCCCGTAATCTCTTTATAGCAAAGCTTCGATTTCAAGTAAACTTCTCATTATTCACATAGAAGACCTTCTTAGTACAGTTCATATGGCTCCATTAGTATAAGGCTGATCGCATAAAAATATAGATTTTTTTTTATCCCCCAATACAACTATACATTCATTTTTTTAACATTGTGATTTCTGAATGCACTTGACTCTGGACTTCTTTACTGAAAAGGGCATATGATTATGTCATACTTTCAGTGTGAAAAGTGAACAAGTGTAAACAATCCTTGCTTTAACTGGCTTCAGGGAAGAGCTGCCTTTAGAGTTGAAGGAGAAGGAGAATACTTTATTCATAGATAGAAAGCTACAGCCACAATTGTTTCTGTTTAATTGTGTTTGCAATATTGTGTTTTTTTTTTTTGTGTTTTTTTTATTTTTTATTTTAGCATATTTTCAGAGCATGATTTACAGCCAAAACGTACATTTGCAGTAAGACAAAGTGCTATTTTGGTCAAGTGTCTGTTGCAAATCTATTCTGAAGTGTCCACATATTAAACTCAAGTTAATACAATCAGAACAGTTCTGACAGTGCCAACTTGCTTTGTCCAAATGCTAAATATTGATCTTCTTTTAAAACATTACAAGGTCAAACTTAAATATGTGTAATCTGTTTTAGTGCGTACCAGGAATCCAGACTTTATACCCAGTTTTAATCTAAGAAGAAAAGCAGGCTACAAAGCTGAAATGCCTATCACTACACATCTCTCTTTCCCTATCTCTTTGGTATCCATTGACGTAAGGACACGCACTCGGACCAGTCATCTTCAGATGTGTTGGAATCTATTGGTTCACAATAGCGGCAGCTCACCCGCGTCACCCGGATCACTGACTTCTCAGAGACCAGCTCAGGATCTAAACAAATGCTTATTGGTGCTGCAAACGTGTTACCTTGGAGTTACAAAAAAAAGATGAGCAGACAATATGGCCACAGAAAAAGTATGGACTAGTGCTTTGTGTGGCTCCTCGCTTCACTTCACTGTCAATACATTCACCTTTCAAAAGGAATTGATCAGTGCGACTAAAAGCTGCAGGAATATATCATCTTTCACTGCGTGTGCCAGGAAGTAATATGATGTGCAAAACATGGGCGATACGAAGAAAAACACTGATAAAGCTGTTATTGAGAATGAGTGTAGGGGAAGGGTTAAGGTTAGGTTGACTCTGAGAGGAGTGCGCCGAATGTACTGCGTAAAATAAAGGGGGTAGAGAAAGCTGTTTATAGAGTTGCCTAATGAATGAAAATAAGCTTAGGGTTTACAAACATACAGTTTGGACTGTCACTATGATTACTTCCACAAGCTGATGGAACTTAAGAACATAAACTTCATATTTGCAGTGGGAGGAGAAGGTATTGGAAAAAGCAAAACACATTTGTCATCATAGGCGGTGAGGACCTTTCATTAGCTCCTAAATAATCCAGTTAATTGTAGGGTATTAAGACAACACTCACGTTTTCCTATTTGCAATTTAGAGACCAATTGAGTAAAAAGAAGCTGGTTATATTTGTGAGGCAACCTAAATGAATTTAAGCAAGGGTATCTTCAGTGCAATGTTGGGGAGCAATCACTTTTGATCTTGTAGTACTGTAAAGAGGAAAACAAATATTTTCTAAAACAAGCATACAATAACCATGACAAAAGCAGATGACTCTGCCTCTACAGATCAGCCAGCTCTGCTGAAGCAGTGAAGAAGAGAAGAGGGAAAACTTTACCTTCAGTTTGTTTTTGTTTTTTACAATAAAAAGTAATTAAATATGTATAAAATGTGTCTTTGGCCATACCTTCATATGATTGTTCAGCAGTATTCACAACAGTAGCTTAAAGCAGTCAGTGATTGTGCTACACCCCTGTACATTCAAGTGTGTAGTCAGAGGTTGAGGTTGAGGACGGTGTCTGGTGTCACTTCTTCAACTCCTCTCACTGGAACGTGTGCTCACCCCGCACGATGTGAGAGGAGAACTCATAGCGGTCTTTGCTGCGGTGCCCACAGATGTTGCACTCCAGGGGATCTCTGTAGCCATGGCAACCCATGTGGATAGTGTACATGACATGATCCAGGAAGAGCACCCTGCAGTGATCGCACTGAAAGGCCCGGATCTCTCCTTCTCGCCCAAACACGCGGATGCCCTCGTGGTTGGCGGGGCGTTCTGTGGCCATCCTCAGTATCCCGGGCCCCCCTAGTGGTCTGGGAGATGCCTCTGTGCCCCGTTCCCCCATCACGCCCAGGGCAGGACTGGCCTGGGAGCGGCCACTGGGTGGGCGCTCTCTGGTTGAATGTCCTTGTCTCTCCTGAGGACTGCTGCGAGCTGAGTCCACTGTCTCCTCTCCACTGACATTGGGGGAGTCTTTGCCCTGTGGGGCCTTGCTGAGCCTGTTTAAGGATGTGGGGCCATTGGAGGTGGGCTGAGGGGGGAACTCTGAGGGCGGAGGGGGAGGCAGAGGCTCACAGTTCCCAGGCCGCTCACTGCGTCCCAGAGGCACCACTCGGTGAAACAAGGGGTTGACCATAGGCACCACGTCCACCATAGAGACAGGGGGGCCTGGGTGGTGCATGCCCAGGTAAGGGAGGGCTGTGCTGATGGGGGGCTCCATCATGTGAGCGTGCATCAGCTCCGCCTGCTTGTCATACTTCAGGCCCATTTCATATCCCATATCAGGGAAACTGTAGCGCATCAGACTCTCCCCTGCACAACAGAGAGGCAAAGACATGTCTCATGAAAACCTCATAAACTAGTTTGTGTTGGTTAAAATAAAGTAAGATCTTGTTGATATTCTGCTCCTTATTTTGTACATTTTGTATTTTATGTCCTTTGAGTGAAGCAGTGGAAAGCCCCATCCATCTTGAGTGCTGGTTAACCACTCCCGAACAGGGATGCGGTGAGTTGTTTTCACTTGATAAGGGCAATGGCAGTGTTACAGGTGTACCTAACCACAGAAAACATTTTCCTAGCCTGTCTGTCATCCGCTTGTTCTACTGCTCTCAATCTTCGTATTTAATACTGTGGTGAGACACTATTTTGGGTGAAACCAAAGTGAAAGCACAGTGTGTCCTTATCTGTCTGCTAAATAAATGAAGTAACAATAGCACTACTAATGCAGCTCACATACACAGAAATCATTGTAACACTGCCATGTTTTCATTTATACATCCAAAATGGCATTTTCATAGAAATGAAGAACATTTGTGTTTTTAAATATTTACCAACAAACTTCTGGGGGGTGGTGCTCTTCCTTTTGGCCACGTTGCTGTGCAGACGCTCAATAACGGGAGGTCTGTCAAAACTTGCCATGACGTTGGGCTCTGCCATGAGCCTTGGTTCTGAAGGAACTTCACCTGGACAAAAAACAATTATTTTAATTCATTTATTCAATATCTTAGACTAATGAAGAGGAATAGTTAATGTAGGACTGCATTCTGAATCTCAGTTAAGACAAGTTCTTCAAGTTCTCAAAGTGAGTAACTAACTTATTTAGTTATAGAAACTTCTCAAATTAGATTCTACTCCCTGAAATTCTGCAGTTGGTGTGAATATGTTTAAACAAGCTCAAACAACAAAAACAATGAATTAGTAAAGCTAGTATTATATAGACTGCGATATTACTGAACATCACAATATTTCTGGAGTACTTTAGGGTACATGAGAGTACAGAGTACATGAGAGTACAGAGTTTTGAGTTTTCTCGTCTGTTTACCTGTGTATGGACCGGTGTTTGCGCCGGGATCCAGGCCAATACCTTGAAGGTAACTATGGCAACGCTCTTTGTGCTCCTCCAGTGACGTGCGCTGCTTGTAGCTCCGCCCACAGTAGTTGCACTTGTGTGGCTTGCCAACTAAAAGTGAAGACATTCAATGGAGAGCAAATTAATTTCATTCCTCAGTGCACAAAAAGAAAGCGTGGGCCAATCCTATGAGATAATTTAAGGCGCTATGTAGTTTGGGTAGTGCGTAGTAGTAAAAGTACAAACAAAACAGAATGAGTGAGATCATGGATGTTCCACTATAGTCTGAGGATTCCACAGTAGACAGACAGACAGAGGTAGTAGTGGGCGATAGGCAGTCACACTGTCTATAGAGTGTGTGTGGCAGCCCACTCCTCAGAGGGCACGATGACTGAACTAACACATCCAAAGGTGGTGGTATAGGAAAGTAGCTCCCGCGGTGAAGGCCTATGGAGGTGGCTGTGATTCATTCAACATTTTGTTTTGTTTGCTTTCTGCCCACTTCATTTACACAACAGAGAAAAACACATAAACATATTCAGAAGTAAAATCTTATCAAGGGGTCTTTGAAGTATCATTTTGGTCAGTGGTTCAAACTTCTCACATCAAGCACCACCTAAGATAACATCTGGGTTTCCGAGTACCACCAGATCTGAACCCGGACTATATAAGTACTATATTAGAGCTAAAGATAAGATGGGTGGAGAACCATACTTTGAGAAGCCCTGGTTGAGGTGAACTTAAATGAACCTATATCTGTACAAACTAGGCACTAAATAAATCAAAGAAATATTGATTATCTGAAATACTATCAACTAAATAAAAACAAATTCTAAACCAAACTTGCTAAATGAGGAGGCTTGACTATCACCATGTCAAGAGACTTCTGAGCACCATCAAAAGTAACCAGCGTACCAAAAATGATCCCAGCACCACAGCTTGAGAACCATAGTACTTGCACAAAAAATGGCCACAACCACATTCATTTAAATTGAGTAAAAATGACAACGCAGAAGTGTAAATAGGACTGCCCCATGTGAACGGCCTGGTGACTCATATAGAGAGCAGTTAAGTGGACTAAAGCTAACTGATGTGATCCAGACATGCACTCATCACTTCTACCACTGCGGTAGATATTATTGGTGCAGTCCATGATGCTATTTTCACTTTGAGACCAGAGTGCACTTAGGGACATAGTTATCACACTTTAAAGTAAAGTAAGGGGTCAGAGCTGTATCATGCGATGGCTGGATTTCATCATTATATTTGATTATATCATGCACAATCCACCTACGCAAATAATGAATGGCATCTTTATAATAAAATGATGCTCTTTAATAGTCATATCTGAAATGGATGAGCTCCTGTGTTTTAGTGAATGATGAGAGTGTGTTTTCTGACTAACTGCCTGGTACTACATTGTGGTCTTTGAATGACAGTGTATTGGCTAAATTTGAAACTAGGCCCACAATTATAGTCTGTAATCCACAACACAGTAATGACAACGGTTTCAATATGATTAAATTTTCTGCCTGCTCACTGAACTTTGACAAGTGAAAGAGTAAAAATACACATGGCATGATGTGAGTTTAAACAGTAGGACAAGCATAAAGTGAAGTGTTGGTCTTTTGTCACTGCAGCCCGCACTACTCTGTGGAGATGGTATAGAAGCGCCCACACATGAACTGTGGCAGATGTTCTAATCTATAATAGTAAATGGCCTTCTTATAGCACAATTGCTTGTATAAGTATATTGTCTAACACATTCAAATGAACAACAAAATAAATGCTATGGAAATGAAAAACATTATTATTATTATTATTATTATTATTATTATTATTATTATTATTATTATTATTATTATTATTATTATTATATTATAATAATAATAATAATAATAATAATAATAATAATAATAATAATAATAATAATATAATAATAATAATAATAATAATAATAATAATAATAATAATACTTTACATACTTATTGTATTGAATTTGTTCGTCATGCAACATTTGTTAGTCATGCCCCTTACATACACACACACTAAATGAACGTGAAATTAACCAACTCACAGATAATTTTAAGGTGACATTTCTACATCAGAAGAGGAATCCATTACTACAAATTGACCTTTGATATGATACTGCATATATCTACCAGTCAATAATGCGGTGAGTAGTTAATAATCATTCATATAGAAGAGAGATTTTACAGTATATTAAGTATGAGTCTAAATGAAAAGCATGCAGGAGATATACTTTTCAATAAGAAGTGAATGGTATGAATAACCTCGTAAAGAGAGAGAGAGAGGTGGTGCTGGTTTGACCTTGATTTGAAAAGAGTGAAGAGCACATCATGATAATAAAGAATTGGGTGAGAGTTAAAAGAGACAGACAGTATTTATATGTGTCTAAACATACAACATGTCCCGCTCATAATGTCCTTGGCATTTAACACAAAGCACTCACGGAACAAAAATGAAAACTATTAATGAACAAGACTAGTTATTGAGCAAACAGTCAATAGTTTTTATATCTCACATGTTCTTGTCATGCATATATATATTTGTGTATCATATTTGTGCATCACAACTGTTCTCATAAACTTCAAAAATAAATGCATTAACAGAAGTGCTCAAAAACTATTACAGACAAGGTATGAATTATGCATAGAAGACTATAACATTATTAATGCAGGCTTTATGTATAATGCCAACGAGAAACATGCACAAACACTAGACATGCGGCATAAAGTGGGCCAAGCAGTGTAATAGCACCCAATACATGGGTTTCAGCTTCCTGTTACATGCAACATTTTGAGGGCTTTTGTTGTCTAATATATAGTTATAAATTGTTAATCACTATGGCAAGGGTCTTAATGATTCTGACACATAGGGACTCAGAGTAGAAGAAGAGTAGCAGGCAGACTCACCAGCGTGTGTGCGCAGGTGTCCGGTAAGGGCGTCTCTGCGTCTGCATGCGTAGCTGCAGAAGGGACATTTGAAGGGCTTCTCTCCGGTGTGCAGTTTGATGTGTCTCAGGAGGTTTCCCTTCTGAGTGAATGACACCCCACACTGGCTGCACTGGAACGGCCTGTCGCCTAGAGACACACAGGAAGTCACTGTGGATCTGCAGCTGACACCGAGCACCAGACAGACAAACATATGGGACTGTGGCATTAGTGTATGTATGTAACCTGTGTGTGTGCGTGTGTGTATGTATGTATGTCTGTATGTATGTATGTACGTACTTACATACGTACGTACATATGGAGAGGAGCTACACAAAACATGAAGCTGGGTTTTTATGTACAAAAACTCAAGTTGAGTGATTTTATATTTACTGCTTTTTGGGGTCTAAATTGATAAGCTTTTTATAATCATTTCAACAATTGAAATCATATTGGCTCTCATTGTCTCATAATTAGTAAATCCAAAGCAAATGCTTACACATGTTATAATGTTATGAACTTATAGATAATTGTAACTAGTGTTACAGCATAAAATTCAAACATAATTAAAGTAAAGACTACAAAAGAAAAGTTCTAAATGGCACCACAATGGTCAGGTAGTTATTTCAGATGAAAAACTACCCAGGGCACATTGTAAGAATTTCCCACTAATACAAGCAGGTGCAATGATTTCACATACATGAAAAATGAATGTGTTGCCTATAAAAACATAATTTAAGGACCATCAAAATGGTTAACTTGTTATTCATATCATGACACATGTGCAAACGTTTTAAATGGTCATACTGGCATTGTTTTTCCTGAGTCAAGAAAAACATTACGGAGTAAAACTAACCTAGACTTGACGATCCACATTTTTAGAAAACAGCATACTACTTTCTTAGTAATCCCTGTACCTCCTGGTTTATGACACACTCAGGTTATTCATTATCAAATTTTAATATTAAATTACTGTCGCTCACGTTATTTGTGCGCTGAGGTGAAATCAATGAACAACCCAAATTCTACAAGTTAAATATAAAATAGCTATGCATTTTATCCTTGTTCAGAATCATAAACAACTAATTTAGAGACATTCTGACACAATTACCATGTCCTTTGGCATGTACACAATCTATGTATAGTGTCTTATGTTGTATGTCCAATGGCTATTTGATTTGGAGCCAGTTGAAAAACCGAAATCTGATCTTAACACTGTGGTGGTGGCAGTTAGAACAGGTTGTGGGGGATTCCAAGGATATTTTTCCCTGATAATAATTCCAGGCCTAAGCTTTTGTCTTTGCACTAAACAATCAAGAGGACTCCACACCCACTGTCGAGGAAAACCAAGACAATTCTGACTCACTCACAGTCACAGGGCACAACCAGTTAAGTGGAGAGTTCTCATTGATCCATCATAGTCATAAAGCAGTTTCGACTTGAAAACATAGGAACAATATAAATGTTATAGACCCTTTAAAAGTATGTAAACAAAAATATTCTAAATTCTTTAGTGGAAAGCAAACTGTAAGCAATGTGATTTTAGGGAAGATTTAACTGGGATTAGCCTCAGAATATCACAAAATATAAATAATCCAAGTTGCCAAGTTTTGGCAAATGGCACCAACTCAGTCAATTAACTGATGTCAAAGCGTGGTTTAAATACATTTACAATTGTATTTTACATTTTTGGTTATTTAATGGGAGATTATTATACACACATAGGGCAAAATCCACATTTTTGGGTTTCTACTGGACAAATCTATTTTAATTTTGTCCAAAGGTATAAAGGTATAATAAGGTAGGTGCAAAAAAAAAAAAAAAAGTGAACCATGTGATAATATAAAACAATTGGGGTAGGACTCCATAAGTTTTTAAAACTTCATCCTACTCCTTTTGAGCACCAGGTCCCAAATATGTAATGTCCATATCACTATTTTTGTTATTGTTTTTGAAGCTTGTTGTACCTGGCTCAAACAAATAAATAAATGAAATGAAATATGATAAACTTAACCATACACAGTGTTGGGAAGTAACTGAATGATGTACCGAAAATACGTATCCAGAATACCAACTTTTCTAAAATCCAAGGCATACATTGAAGTACTAGATCAGAAAATTGTCAGTACTCTGATTGGACCATGCATTGGAAAACATTACAAAATACATTTTAATGCAGGTATCCAGTATAATGTAACTAAATACATTTTCAAGGTATTTTTCCCATGACTGACCATAAATTATATATTTTGTGAGGCTCAAATACAACACTGAGTTGTGAAGTATTTTTCCATCTTTTGTAACAGAAACTAACAAACTAACTGTGAAAACTACTACCTTAGATTGTTTCATATTTTTTGTTAAGTAAAACCATGAGCATTTAGATCTGATGTCGGTTAATCGTTGAATATTGATTAAACTACTTCACTTTACATCGATTAGGATATTTTGAACATTCAGTTGCCGTAGTGATTTAAGGGTCTATATGTGTAGTACCATTGGGCTGTCGGCTGCCTCCCTCTGCCTGGGCACTGGGCCCGGTGAGCCCGTCCTGCAGGGCACTGGGGCTGTTGGACATGGACTCCTCCAGTGGGACCCCCTCCTCTCCAGTGTGGCTCAGTTCCTCCAGATCAGGACTGCCACTCTCCACCTCCTCCATGGCCTCATCCTCCTGCTTGATTGTCAATTCTGCAAAAGAAGTTGTAGTGTAACTTTATATATCATGTATGAACAGTTACATCCAAAGTGGAAAGTAACTAGAATTTTGTTTTCAACATTTTTATATTTACTCAAGTAGTTCTGTTGATTTGATTGATATTAGTGTAAAGTTAAAATGGTTAGGACTGGTGAGACTCATTTTACTAAAAGGTAGTGGAAATTATTGTATTTAAAATGTTACTAATTGTCTTATCTAGTTCTCCTTAGATTGACATTCAAGGTGCAGTTTTTCATATTACTTTCTGGATGGACATAGACAGTAAATGTAACATACATAGTTAATTTCTCTACAAGGCCCAAATGTTGTCCAATTTACACTATCATTATCATTTGTAAAATAAAGATAAATGACCTTTACTTTATTAAATGCATATTTGAACCGCCAGAAAATCCTGTTCCTTTCAGAATGAGATATCTTTACTAGTTCCTTGAAGGGTAATAATTGGAGCTACCTGAAGAAACAGGCACACATAGCAGGTGCACAGGTAATCTACATGGCATGACAGTTCACAGGAAATCAGAGATGAAAAAAAGATGTAAATAATTCTTAAGAAAACCTCAAACAAAGTTCAAAAGCGGAAGTAATAAAAGGTCTTTGCGTGTAAATTGTCCGTAAATTTTGTATGGATTTTGTATATTGATTACATAGATTACAAAGAAAGATTCCTTCCTGTAATTTCCTTATTTTTCTCTTTATAAACTGCCTCTTCACTGATGTAAAACTATGATATATATATTCACCACAGATACTATCCCACCAACTAAAGTAAATGTGAGAGAAATGCAAAGAACTGTGATGTATACTTTAAATAATACTTTAGAATAGTATTTTAACATTTGAAATCATAAAACAATTCCACATGATCTGCCCACCTACGTTTAGACACTTAAAACCACTGCAGACTTAATAGAAACTTTTGTAAAGCACAAACATGTTATAAAAATGCATTAAAATGAATTATTCTTCACTCTCAGAATAAAGACAATTTGGAGGTCATTCCAATCGACAGTGTGAATGCTGACTGAGACAATTCTCTCTTTTCGATGAACCCAGTGACCTGTTCATCAAGGAAATCATGTCAAACACACACAAATATTCATTTAACAACTTTTAATTAATTTCTTCATTTTATCGACAGTGAAAAAAATTCTATGTATGAACTCAAAAGCACTTTTAGGCCAAGGTTTACAGACAAGTGCTATACAATTAAGAAGCCCATAGACCAGACAGTTGATACAATATAGACTGGAAAATAGAAAAGTACCACTTCACATGTTTCAGCACACTAGAACAAAAGATTAAGAATCTCTCAGATCTCAGAATAGATGGTTATACTTTCAAACTCACAAATGTTAATAATACGTGTGTAAGTATAAGTAAGATCATGTTCAGTGTGTGTATTGAAATATCTTCACTTATATTTCATGAGCCAACATAACAGCTTCCTTTTATAGGCAAAAGTTTTTTTGTTTTTTTTTTCTTTTCCTTCTTTTTTTTTCTTTTTTCTTTACAGTTACAGTTTGCGTCAGATGCCCTTCTTGATGAAAGCCTCGGAAACGGTGGTTCCCAAGCTGGGGGTAGGAAAGACCCCCTGTAGAGCTTTGTCTGGTTAGAGGAAATGAAAAAAAAATCTTATTATGAACCTTTTAAAACATATAACTATTATTACTACACAGTGGTGCAACATAACAAAGTAAAAATCAGTAAATCATGAGCCCTGTACTTAAGTATGCATTTTAGAGATATTTTACTAATACTAGTACATTTTAAAGTGGATATTTTTTACTTTTACTTCGCTATATTTGAAAGTATCTGTACTTTCTACTCCACTACATTACACTACATACAGGACAGAAAGGTATTTTTGATTGTAGTATGAGACCTGCTAAAAAAGATTTAATTTTAACACATTCATAGTTTGAGCAAACAAAAAAATACGAATAAAAGCAGCTAGAAAAAAACTACTTATTCCATTGTTTCTGTTGAACTAAATTTAGCACAAGTCTTTATCAAAATCATTAAATTTGAGCTTTATATTTTTATGAGAACTCAAAATCTGTGCAAAATACTTTTCCTTTTTACTCTTTAAGTACATTTTTAATGGTAACTTTAATACTTTTACTTGAGGAGTTTTTTTCATGTGATACTTTTAGTTTTACTTGAGTATGTCTTTAGTCCAGTATCTGTACACAACTGAGTACCTCCACCACTGCTACTACAACTATATTTTACTACTACTAATACCTTCAGTAGGTAACAAGTGTACTATTTACAGACATTTTATCAATAATGAGTCAGGCTTAGTAACTATTCTAAAGGGGATAGGGGTAGGTGTATTAATTAATTAGTTAGTTGTTATGCTTTGTTTTGCTTTGTACAATATGAATTCAGTTTTTCTTGATGAATTATTGAGGCTAATAAAGGTGCACTTTATAAGGTTTGGAAAATACTGTAGTTATTATAGTTCATTCTGTCACCAATAATCAAATTATTAATTGTGAAAATAGCTTGCCATTTTCTGAATCTAAAAATTACAATCACAATTCTATGTTACCGATTTCTATAACGAACTACATCTTGCCCAAAACTATTTAGACTGACCTATAGCTTAATATCACAATCACCATCATTAAAAGTGCTTGTGGAGTGGGCTTGCCAGTAACTTAGCAACTCAACAGGTAGACAGCAGCATTATCTTTTACTTTCCTGATGAAGAGAAAAAATAGACAGTGTATGAGAGAGAGAGAGAGAGACAGAGAGAGAGAGAGAGAGAGAGAGAGAGAGAGAGAGAGAGAGAGAGAGAGAGAGAGAGAGAGAGAGAGGCGCAAGGAATCTTTGAAACTGGCTGGGCTGGTTCCTGGCTGTCCTTGGGGAGAAAGGGAGTGTCTGGGCCCTGAAGCTGCTAACACCAATGGAAGACTGGTTGGATGGCAGTGCTAAAAGGCCTTATAATTGGGCATATATAATTGTTTGTGTGTGTGTGTGTGTATCCGGGGGCGTGTGTGTGGGAGGGAAAACTATTCAGCACCTGCAGCCTCTAGGTATCGACTCTTAAAAAAACTTTGTAATATACACAAGATGGCGGTAATTATAGTTTTGAAGTAAGAAGAGATGAAAATGTATGGAAACTGACAAAATGGCGTTTGGTTACTACAGATTAAAATAGTATGACGGCTGTAAAGAACGGTGGAAAATTAATCGAATCAATGTTTGGTTTGGTTCATCAAAAAAGGAAAATATAAAAAATCCATCATAACCTATACTACATTTAGGCATTCCATAACAACTAAAGATGTCTTTAATTATTTATGTGTGATTAAAATGGACATTATAAAGAGATGAGAATCTCTATTTTCTCAATGCCAATGATGCTATGTTTATAATCAATCTAATAAGCAACTTATCGGCAGACCTGGTCCCTAACAAAGAACTGGCACTAGCCTAGTAAAAGCGCATAGCCAAAAGTTATCTAAGAAAATAAAACAAAAACTAAACGCTGTGAACTATCTGTGTCTAATTGTAAAACATTATATTGATTGCATTAAATAAATCACAATAGACAGATTTAAATGCAGAAATTCTCCTTTTAAAGTTTCAAAATCAGGTACCCAAGCTTTAGGCAATAATTGATTCAGTTTAAAGCATGACCTTGACATTAAGTGAGATTTTTAACTCACTCAGTTTTATCGTCTGTATCAAATGGAGACCAAAGTATTAATAATTATAAATAAAATTATAAAATATGATGCAATATCTAGACAGTTTTAGAAGGATAGAAAGTGGATTTTTATACATCAAATATACCATTACAACTAACTGAATTGAATGAAAAAAGGTACATTTCATAATTAAGTAAAAGTTAAATAGATCTTTACAGCAGGTTTGTAGAGATTTTGTTTGTGTAAATCTACTTTAGAACAAACAAAGCGTGGTGCATGTGTAGTTGTGTAACTGACTGATCCTGACTGTCCAGTTGTGGGATTTACAGGGACAATAATGATAGTGTGTGTCTGACACTGACTTCCTATCTTGAACAGGTCTGCTCCAGGCGCTCATCCATCTGCAGCTCTGCGCATTTATGCACTGAATTATAAGTCTTTATGGAACTCAAAAGTGGTCTGTGACTTTTGAATCAGAAAGTCAAACTCGCATACATTTACCACTGAACAAAGTAAAGACAACATGAAAGGTAAACAACTGTAGCAAAAAAGGAGATGCTAGATAAAATGTGTTATTTTATGATATTCAGTAACCTTAAACCTAAGATCCTATGACGTTAAATGTTTTATGTGTTTGTATTGCCAGCATTACGTTTGATGAGAAGTTCAACTAGGTTTAAGTTCTGGAATGATTCTGGTATCGACCCTTTGTTCTTTATATTTTTCTTACCTTATTCTTATCATTCACTAGATCTCATGGTTACTTAGAATAATGTAGTTGCTCAATGACTAAGAGCATTTGATCCCAAAATAGAAGATTTCAAGTTCGAGTTCCTGTCCAGACACAGTACGCATTGCATAAAAGGGGCAAGTGCCTTGGCAGAGGTCTGTGCTCTGTGCACACTTTTGGATGTGGTGTTACTCGTCTGCACCACCATCTTAAGTCTATATAAACCAGTGTTTCTTGTGGGCAGCGTGTATGCTGTGGAAACACTTATCCCGACACGAGCCTTGTCTTTCACAGCTGTATCCTGGCAACACGGAGCAGACCCGAACGTCCTTCAGCTCCTTACATCTTTACATCTGTCTGTCGTCATGTGGCCCAGTGGTAAGCACACAGTGATCAGATAAGGATACAGTACACTTTGAATGGGCAGTCCGGATAATGGCATTCACTCTCAGACAGTTTGAGTGTTTCAAAACCCAGCCTAGAGCCAGCAGACTGACAGTAAATGGATATTATTAAAGAAGACATGATCTGTGCCTCTGTGCAAATCGGTCGTCAAACTGTGTATGATAAAAATGGCCAAATGGTCGAGGTGGCACAGTCCACTATTTTGATAATATTATGTCATCTAACTCATGTTGTTACTGGCAGTACAGTGGTGGAGTGGTTAGCAAATTAGCACAGAAACATGGGGTTTGTCTCAAAATGAATTTTCTCAGTATCTGTCTCATGTACCTTTGTGTAAGAATGAAAATGTTGACGAGATCAGAACTTGTCATCTCTGCATTCAAAAAAGTTATGCAAAGATTACCCCATGCACTTAAATTGTTCACAGGGGATAAATTATTTGATGGATTAACACAGAATATAAAAAATGCTTTATATACTATTATAACAGAATGTCTTTTTATCAGCTCATGTTAGTGAGACATATTTTTGAAGTGAAGACAACTGCAGCCCTGTGGTGTGTATTGTCTGACCATTGTGCATTGAGCATCCAAACTGTGTGTGGAGAATATTTACTAAGCACTTACCACAGGGGGACTTAGGACCATGGGGAGCTGTCTGGCCATTGGACTTTTCCACCAGCATTCGGGAGTTCTCTTTACCAGGCGAGCACTGGCCATTACCTGAGAAACACGTATAGTTAATGTCAACTAAAGTCTTTTCTACAGTTTTACAATAAATTTAAATTCAAATCCTAATTATTTCACTTTATTATTGGTAAAAAATATGTACTCTAGGCTGACCAGGTTATTCCTTTTCAAAATGTCCACATTAATATCCATATATGAATCCTTATTTCAATTCCGAGACCAGGATGTTTAAGTTTAAGGCTTTTTTTTTTTTTTTAATATAGGGGTAAATTTGTAGATTCTGCTTTATTTGTAAATTTTTATCAAAGTGTTAACAGAGCTTTGTCTAGTTACCAAAGGCACCTGTTTGAGCTGCCTATAGGATTCTTATGTCCAGTGGATGTGTATCAGATTGCAGCACCTTCAGCGGTGTGCACAGAGAAGGCCATGGATAGCCAGTGTCCACTCAGAGGAGAGCAGACCCATCCCTGATCCTCTTACAGGACGGTCCTATCAGGGTCAGCTCAACAATACAGACACCCCCTCTGACCCAGGTGTCACATCCCTCAGGACACACATGGACATGTCTTTTACCTGCCCCACAAACACAGAAACTATATATGGACAATGATACGCACAACTAGGCTTGGGTTTGTATAAACTATTTTCTGGGATTAAGAGTAACATTCAGTTACATCCACAGGACTGTAATGACTCTGCTACATGTACTTTACCCGTATTGCAACGGTATTTTATTTATACTTCAGTTTACATGAGTAGTAGTAAAACTCTTAACACTTGTCCTTACATTGTGAGCCTTGATCTAACTTGATGGAAGCTATGGTTTAAAAACTTTTGTTGTGTTACTTGTGTGTAACATAATATGTTTGGGCTGTCTGGATAAATCAGAATCAACCCAATGCATGTTTTTATTTGAGTGATTGTAATGACTTGTACTTTCCTCTGCATACTGTAAGTGCTATTTTTGCAATAGGCTGATTTGACTTGATTACAACTTTTGCCTTCTAAAGATACCCCAACTTTGGCTGTGATAATATAGTTAATCCTCTACGTGCTGTCTATCATTCTCCATAAAAGACTAACCTGTCAGATCACATTTTGCTTTGACAGTTTGTATTAGCTGGACAAGTACTTTGTGCATTGTTCTATTGTACTGGTGGCCTGGCTGAGTGGGGCATGCTGGGAAACGTTGTCCCTGACACAATCCCTGGGACGGGGCTCAGGTTGCACAGGTCGGGGTTGGAGGAAATCTCAGGTGACCGAGCGTCTCTCCCCTGGCAGCGCTGTCCTGGAGACAGGACTGGCCCAGATTTGTCATGAAGGATTTTCCATTACTGTAGCCACCAGCACCACCGCAGTGTGGCTATGGGACATCCAGCCACAGAGCGCATGGACACACTGGGTTCACTGGCTTAGCATTACAGATGCAATATTTATAGATGTTATGGAAGCAGTGAGTTTACATGTCAGGGTTATTAAAAGGGTTTAAAAACAAACAGGTCCAAATTTTATGCTGACTAACTTTTCATGAGTTTCACTTGAAAAGTGGAACGAAATTGAAAAAGGGTAGATTTTATCTTTTTATTTGTGTTGCAATTTAAGGGTTTCATATATCTTCATATTTCAAAGTGTGTTTGTTTTACAAATATAAACATATTTAAAATGTGCTTTTATAACTTACGTTGCATGTGTCTTTTTGGACATTATTAGGCAATTGTATTAACTGATCTATTGATAAATAATATGTCATGTGTCCTAAAATGTTAAATATATCATTGTGGAGACTGTCCTTTGTGCCTAGAGAGAGAGTATTTTATAGTACATTGATGTACAGTATCTTTCATCATCAAATCTGTTTTCCATCCCAAACCTCAATGCTTTAATGTTGGAAAATGCCCACAAATATAGCAAACCACAGTCATTTACACTTTCACAGAATGAAGGGAGGCCCACGTTGGCTTGTTTTGGCTGAGTCAACTCTGTCTGTGCGTTACAATTGAGATATTAGGTATTCACAGCGGGGTATGGTATATTTGAGTAATGCACTAAATTAGGATAATATGGTCCACTAATGTGCTGACAAATGGAAAGGAGCAACTACAGGCCTACATACAGTGGAAATGATGCTGAGCTATATTCTGTGACTTATTTTTGAATCATAAATTAATATAAGATGTTTCCTCCTCTCCCACCCATCGGTCAGAGGATGCGAAACTATAGCTCAGAATGATAACCCATAAGAAACAAGAGGCAGAGGGGGCGGCAGAAATAGTGACAAAGCATGTGGAGGAGAGTATGGTCACGCATTTCTCAACATTCAGTGTTATCTTATGAATTAAAAAAAACAAAACATGTCCTTAATGGTCTGTGGAGGAGCTATCAGATTGACAAGGCTGTATGCAGGCTTGCATGGTGCATATCAGGTCAGGCTGTTTGTGTGCATCTGAGCAAGGACGTTCCTTTTTTCTAACTTTATTTTGATATGGTTTATCACATTGTACAGATTACTGCAAATAATGCTTAAAATAGACTTCTTTTTAATGTTATTATTTTATATTAAATCTTAAAAGCAATGGTATTAGTAAAAATTGAGACTGAAAATTAGTGGATAGCTGAATATTAGTAGAAGTTATATACACAGTGAATATTGCAGTAGTGATAGTATACTTAAACCTGAACATTCACATATTAAAAAAAAAAAAAATCTTTATTTAAACTATTAACTTTTACTTCAGAGTGAATAATGCCACATACATTAAAGCACAAGCTGATAGCACCATTTAGATTGCATTGTATTGTATCTGTATTGCACATCTGCAATGTGCCAAAATGCGGCTTGTATGATCTTGGGCACTTGTAAAATGATTCACAGTGACACTTCCTTTGTTCCTTTACTGTCCACAGAATCTGGATTTGAAGAAGCAATTTAAGGGTTCTTTCTTTCTTAATCACAGTGGACAGAGCCTTGAGATCGATGTATATTACCAGACCACTGCAGCAGACGCCAAACCAGCCAATTCACCATGCACTGCTTTCCTTTGCAGTATATAAGCAAAAGGTGCAAAATATATATACTGAAATGTAGCTTTTTTATTTAGAACGCATTTGACATAGATGTATGGAAGTTTTGAAATGTAAAGCAATGCAAAATGAAATGGTTGACTAATTAATAACTTCAAACTACCCAGGACTAACCCTGGCCCAAATCAAGACCCAAAAGTCCCTGTGGTGTGGAAGGTCGAGCTACCTGCTACAGATATGCACACAAAAGCAGAAAGCTGCACTGAGGGGGGCAGGCAGGATCACACACACACAAGCCCAAAGGAAACCAGCAAAGGGCAATGGAGCACCACAACGCACATATCCAGTATCTGCTGCACACACAGACAGGATGTCGATAATGCATGATTCTCTCAAGCTTTAAGGCTGCACAGGAAAAGGCTGCAGTGAGGGAAAATCCCTCCAAATGTTTACACTTTAAATTTTATAGCACTAATTATGAACAAATTATTCTCATTCTACGTTCTGCAACTGGAATACATCTTTAATCCATTCTGACCAGCTGTGCAACACAGAATCAAACAACACCTGACATAATAGGAAATGTAACATAAATGTAACATAAAGATGCATATATATACATATTTTAAACAAAAGCGCTGTTGGGCATCATGGTTCAAATGTAATGTAAAATGACTTACTTGAGCAGTAACCACCTGGAGTTTCCATTTCACTTTGGGAGTTCTGCACAAATTGAAATATAACTAAATTACTGCATGATTTTAACATCATCAATGAAGCATTTTTAATTTTTACTGTGGGGCTAGTCTGCTAAATATGTTTTAGCTGTAACAGGATCTGTGGGTAACTGGTTAACTACACAAATGAAACAGCAAACTGTCATTCTTTTATAAAACAGAATGAAATAGTGTTTAATGAAAGTTAGAGAAGGGATTTGAGAGTGATGCATTTTCTATTCTCTGTATCTACTGCATGTGTGTGTGAACTGAAACAAAATTTGGTTTGAATTTTCACCAAATATATTTCCAACAAATGCCTTTCTTAAATATACTGTCTATATTCCCCATTTCAGCTTATGATATGTGAAAAAACTGATCTCCAATGTGTTAAAAATCCTAATTTAAAAATCCAATAAAAATGACTTATGTGGTTATATTGTCCCTGTACAAAATATAGAATATAAATCAGTGGTTGAAATGCCCGTTTAAAAATATTTTCAAGCTTATAGAGAAAATCTACAGTTTTTGTAATTAAAATCTAAAAAATGTAAGCATTAATTAATTAAACACTGAAATACTGTAACATAAAACATATAGAATAGACAATAAAATGAGGGAAAAAAAGTGGTTTACCTTCAAGTGTATCCCCAGTAGAGAGTGAGTAGGGGATATCAGCCCGGGACAAAGGAGGGAACCAAGTATCTCCTCCTCCCCTAAAAGTGAAAATAAATCAGTCCCGGTGTGATAATGTTTGCTTTCTTATTTTCTGACTATAAAATATAATAACATATTTTAAAAAATATAATATTTTATCTAAAAAAATAATCAAAGAAGCGCCAGATATTTAGGAGCGTCTCTAAAATCCTACAGGTGTTCGCCGGTGCGTCTTGAGCGCGTGTCCCGTCAACTTGTGCCTCTTCTGATGGTGTCACTGGCACCGTCCCGTAAGGCTCAGACATACAAACTTCTCCGCACTTTTCCCGAGTTTAAACCGACTTCCTGAAGCTCTCCAGCGGGGCAGAGGTGCACTGAGACGGGGGTTAGACTCAACAAGTTGGTGAAGGAAGAGAAGGAGAGGGATCGATCAAACTGGATCCACCGGTTCCTAAGGAATTAGCCATAGTGGCAGGGAGCAGCCAAGCTATTTTTCAAAGCTACTCTTAGGACTGGAAAATCCGTGTGGGTAGCTAGGCTATATCATGCATTTAAACACAGCGTGAACAGATACATGTGAGAATGCCAGGATGACATGCATCCTACCCTAACTGTCAAGTGAATAATTTATGCAATAATAGCGCTTAAAGGGAAAACTTTAACACAACAGCCTGAACACTTATTTGGCATCATTATAGAAGCATCATAGGTGTAATTTCATAGGTGAGTGCATATATAAATTAAGTGAAATGTCACTCAAAGCGACGCAGTTTGGTCGTAGCTGTAGTGTTCCAGAGCATGTCTCTGGCGCTGGCTGACAGAGTGACAGCTTCAATTCAACAGGTTATCCGATCACAACAGCGAGCCCGTGTGCTTCTCCATTCACCAGACAGACGCTCCTTGTCTGCTCACTGCTGCAGACATGCGCCTCTTTACGGCAAAGCGTCTGGAGCTCTAAGCACCGGTCTACAGTCAACAACGGCACGCTTTTTTTTAGTTATCGCAACAAGCACATGTGTTCTTTTTCACGTTACCTGTGCAATACTGTGGAGTTTATATGATCCCGCGAACTGGCACACTCATCCACATTGGGCACATCAGCTTGACTTCATTGTAGCCCGACATGCGCCAACCGGTGGGGGGCTCGAAGGCAGTTCCTAAAAGGTAGCAGCGGCTCAAGCAACAGTTGTTCAATCCTCCAGTGACTTCCTCCTCCATCTCCTCATGAGCACAGTGCACAGACACGAGCGGCAGCGGCAGCAGACAAGGCAGACCCGAGTTGCTATTCTGGGAAGTTGGTGTGACACGCAGAGAAACGGATCACGGCGGAGTGTGGTGGACCCAGTAGTCTGCGTCTCGGCTCGACAATCGATTAGATTACAAAGAAAGGGCCTCTTATTTCTGAGGCTGCAGTGAGGGTTACCTATGGCGGTGCACTACAGTAGCCTATCGCGCATACAGACTCATTTGTCTTCTCCGCGTTTAAAGTGAAAGATTTGCACCTTACAATGAACTGAATGAAAAATGAATGAAAGTTATGGCAATCCTTTAAAGATGTAATCAACAAGCTTTGTACTTTTATGTGGATTTATATTGTGCGTAAAAGTAAGCCCAGTTTCACTTTTGCCATATAGAAAAATAGTTGGACCCTACACTTAACCCTTTAATGAACACATTCACAACTGTCACTATTACAGGTGGGATGAACAGACTAGTGAGGACCTTGAATTAAAATGTCAGTACCCCCTGGTGGACAGACACGGCCATAGCAGCTCCATGTATCCTCATTCACCTCACTTCACACTGGACTGCTGTGTATTCTTGTAACCATGGCACCCCTCTATTACATGACATCACTGCAGTAAGAAAAGCACAAATATTATATATCTGTATGGTAAGTGCTTTAATGAATCACTGTCGAGTTATAGCAACATGAATTATCTTTCAAACTATTTTTCTGATATATTTTCTTCCAAGCACCAATAGGCAGGCAATAACAGAGCCTAAATGTTTCATTAGATTATATGAGTTGCCCATGGGTTTCAAATAATGAAAATTTTGGACTGTCACCATAGTAATTAACAATACAAACCTAAATATAATATCTTTTGAATGATGAAAAGTCCTCAAAATGTCACATTTAACAACAAGCTGAACCCCCTACTATTTATTTAGGGATCAGTTTAGTTGAGTAAAGGACATGGTTACCTCACAGGGATTGACAGAAATGTACATAAACATCATATAGGCTCGAGTTAAACAAGGTTACAATTATGAGGCTTCTACATGTGATTATAAAAAGCACAGTATTTACAACACATATTGTTCAAAATCTATATAGATAATATCCATCATTGTTGGATGTCACATGCACGTCAAATGATCCCTATGATAATAATGTCTTCAAAAATAAAAATGAATTGAGAGAAGTAAAAAGACTGTGGGCAAAATACCAAGGTATCTTGCGGTTGTTGCTTTCACTTTCATAAAACTAGTTACAATTTAGACTGTAATGTGGCAGTCTTGATTTTAAGAATGATGAATCTGTAGCGCCCTCTTCTGGGAGCTGCCATGTATCTCAATTAATAATTGAATATATTTCTTTGCAATGGTAGTTAAGTTTGATGCTGTGGTGTGGTTGAACAGCTCCCTCTGCTGTCCATCCACTAGGCTTATATGCCTTACACACCTTACACACATACGGTGTGTATGTGCGCTGTATAATACCTCGATGTGATAATCCTAGGCTGAGGCATTGATATTGAAACCACAAAATAAAGTAGAGTTTACACTTCAAGAGAGTTTTCATCCATAAAGAGTCTCTTACAATACTCTTAATAGTACTAAAAAGGTGCACTTCATTTAAAGGTGCACTATGTAAATTTTCTGGTTCCTCAGTAAGGCACTGGGCATATCTTGCATGTTTTCAATAACATATATTTTTATTACTAAAAAAACAAAAACAAAAAAATACAAAACAAAAATACACAATCTTACCTCTCTACAGATCTGATTGAATTTTTGAAGTTTAATGCTATGTATCTCCATGGAGACAAGCTGGCGGCAAACCATCCAGTAGAAAAGTTACACAGTACATCTTAAATAGTTCAGCATTTAAATTTGCTCCAATTTGTGTTCAAATGGAAAACATGGTCAGACAGGTCACGTTTATATGCAGCTCTTTCAGTCTGTGTGAGCGTTACCACAATCGTCTCTCGGTTTCACATGCTAATAACTGACTTTAAGCCCTTTCACCTCAACAGTACCTCAACAGTCTACTGCTTCACACCCACATCTCTGAGTAACTGTCAGGTAAAAGCAAAACAAATGCTTGATGTCGTTCAATGGTTAATTTAAATTAACAAATAATCAAAATTAAGGCTCACCTTATACAGCAAAGTGAAACTCACCATAACTCATTAAAGGTTACTCTGGGGTTTAGCAGTTTCATTAGATTCAAAGATCCAATAATGATACTGTGGTTAAAAACATGTCATGTCTACAACAATAACTACTACAGTAAATTGTGCATAAGATATAAACTGCAGCATGTAATACCGTGAGTTTCTGGCAGAGGGCACTGGTGGTCTTTCACACACTGCTTGTATTTTCTGCATTGGATCTGTTATAAAACTGCATGCAATTATTTCACACTCTTTTTTTCTCAACTGAACCCAAACCCTTGTAACTATTAATCATTAAGGATTTGAGTGTTTACAATGGTATTTCACCACAAATGCGATGATGAGTCTGATCTGTTCTACAGTGTTGCTTCCTATTTGTTTGTAAAGCATCTCTGAGTGCCCAAAAAGCATTATATAAGTCCAGTGTATGATTCTTGCCTTTTCTGCAATATTTTGTGATGTTTTGTCTTTCATATATGTTGACATAAGAAACCTGAGTGAACTGCCAGAGTTACTGTGGGTTCTCTCAGGATGTACACGTTTGCATGCATGAAATCATGAGAGAATCTAATTTACCCATAGAGTTACTTTTAGGAGTGACCATGTAAAAAATCTGTCTCCATTTTACACAGCAATTAACTGACTATTGTCTAGGCTTTGGCACATGACAGGGCTATGGTCCCAGGTTACTATGTTACAATAGGCTTTTTTGGTATCTTCACAAGTACTGAAAACATTACTAATTGTTTTTCTTTGTGAATTTAAGTGACCCAAGTAAGTGTGCTAATCATTTCTAATGTTTACAGTTTACTCACAGTAGTAGTAGATATATTATGCTTCTTAAAATGCTTAGTAATGAATGTTTTGCTCATTGTAAACCCCAAACATGATCTAAAACAGCGTAACAGAAATGAACTACCTGATCAGATTTAATAAGCCTAAGATCTTCACAGCAGCAGTTGACCTTAGGCCAACGTAAGCAACAGAATTGAATGTTTTTTTGTTTTTTTTTAACCCTACATGTATGACCCAGATGCAAGTTGGGAAGTGGGTGGATATAGAGCGAGGGTGAAAACCACTTTCACAGCACTTAAGCCCCAGGACAAAACATACATGAAGCAAAAAGAAAAAATAATAATACAACTCCAAGTAAACAAATTCTAAAGGTAAAAACTTTGTATAATATCTCTCCTCTAACTCTCAGGGTTAACATACAGAAAATATGTATTAGATTAGACAGATGGATCAGGGGGCAAGCTTGACTCCCCGCTGACACCTGTTGGTAATCTAAGATGCACGCCCTGGTAACACATGTATGGGTGAGTGACTAAAGCGCTCATATGCACTCAGCCCTATATAACAGAAACACCTCCCTAAGCCCAGACATGTTTCCTGCTAAATCTATTACCAGCAAAACAAGCGGTCGATAGCATCCAGTACAGTAGAGCTGCAGAGCTACACTTCAGCTACATCCAATTGTTACCACAGTTTCTTTGTGCTATAATGGTGCGGTATGTTTTCATTTATATAAGGACAGTGCACTATAAACATTGACCACAAGGACAGATGCATTGTTCCAAATTATAGCAGAAAATGTTATGAGAAAAAACAAAAAAAAAAACAGATTCAGTACTCCAACACAGTGTTAACAATAGAGTTTGTATTTTTGTATTATAAGGCAAAATTAGGGTTAATACTAATAATAATAAATTGAGGTTCATATGTTACACAAAATTAACTCCTGTGAGCTCACATCATGTTGGAATACTGTTACCTCATCAAAACCATACCTGAAGTTGTGTTTTTTTCATTCATACACATTTGAGCATTACTTTATTATCAGTCTGTCTGCACCTCCAAAGCTCAAAATGCTCTCTTCCATCTTGTGATGTCATATAGTGGCATTTTTCAAGTTAACAACTACCTTTTACCTTTTGTTAAGTAGAAATCATTAATTCCAGGGTTGAAATTATCCAAATGATTCTAGCAAAGGTGTAAGTTTAAAAGTTTAAAAACACAGTATAAAGTGGAGTGTTTAAAGTTTAAAATAAGAAATAACATTATACCATAGGTCAGAAAATAGCACAGTATGGGCCCTTTAATGTCTCTCTAAATGACAACAAGATTCTAGTTTGAGAATAAACCAGTCTGTGTGATTTTCATTGTTTACTGTGGATAATATGTGATACAAATGCAGTTCAATATAGGTTAACATTTTGTGGTCTCACTACATTCATTTTCACTGCCCCCAAAAGGCCAATGAAATCGACCCTAACAGCTACTGATCAATAAGAGGATAGTATGTCAAAGCTAGTTCATTTATCTTTACATGTATTCATATGTCTTTAGCTGGGGGCCACAGACAGCCTCATAATTTATGATGGGGCTTGTGCATATCTGTGCTAATGCATAAATCATTGGTCTAATACATGAACATAGTGCAGACCAAAAGCAGGTTATTGCGCAGCGGGGGTGGGGGGGATGCAGAGAGCAGAGGACAACAATGGATAGAGTATGACTAAAGAGGGGGGTTTCAATGAGTAGATTTGTATTATACTGCAACACAGAAGACACAAAAGACATACACGAACTATGGAGGTATTACTAAAAGAAAAGGAAAAAATGGACAATGTTTAAGATGATAAAATATTTAGGTTACAGACCAAATTGAATTAAAATGTATTATGCCAGAACTGTGCAATTAGTGAAGAATGCAATAATAGGAACTGCAATGAGTGGAGTGTGCCCCTTTGTGACCCGAGCCCTTTGGGATGGGGTGGAATTAGCCTTTGTGTGTGTTAATGTTGTAACACGTCTGTCCATTAACATGCACTGACCCAATCAAATAAATACATACATAAATAAAATAAATACATTTGGCCAACTATAAGTGAACCATAACATGGTCACTGGAATAGCTGTTCATTAATGGCTCATTCACTGGAGTGGTTATAGAGTTGTCTCTAACTTTGTTGGGAAGAATGGAATAATAAGAATAAAACTGTATT